AAGTTTAAAAAAGGTAGGTGATGGCATTGCATTACTGATGCTACTTTGTATAAAGAAATGGAAGCTAGGCATTTACTCATGTTTCACCTCCTCTAAAAGAAACCTACAAACCATAGTGCGCTGCCATCTTACTAATATTCCTGTCACCCTGAATGAGTAAAGTCGTGAACATTCTGAACTTAACTTCTCACTGGCTGTCTTCTCATATTAAAATGGGAAATAAGTCCTGTTTGAATGCTCAAAGCCCTGTGAATAATGTCGCAGCAGAGCCTGGCTACGGGTGTCAGCATACAGTAGAACTCCAGCAAAAACGCTTGAGTGAACTTTCATGTTGGAAATAACAGGAACTTTCTGCATTACAGTAGTTCAGGCTTTAAAACAAGACTATTTTTTGATAGATCGGATTGCTGTTTTTGCCTTGACTTCTTTGAGAAAATATGTTGAAGTACTAATGTTAGAGTCAATTATGAGTTTGATCTCAGTATCTTGTTGTTACATATCACGTTTGAAATCTGGAGGGTTTCAGTTAGGTTTATGGCTGCAGTCTCTATTTGGTGACTATAAAGTTGTTGCTGAGACTTTTTTTTTTGCCTGAATGCTGACTACTGGAAGGTACCAAGGGGCACTGATACAGTCTCAAACACATTAATTCAGGTGCCTAGCTTCTGTGAGCTTCTTGTACAGTGGGAAAGGCTCCTCTTGAATGTATATTAGAACTTATATTAAGCTGGAGAGCTTTGTAGAGGCCATCTTTTACCATTGACTGCGTAAGAATTTCAGGGAAGTAATCTTGTTAAAGAGGCAGTGCAGGGCATTCAGGCTGATTATGGCTATCTTCTATAATAAGGACTCCAACACCCTTCAGGAGGTGTTGGCTGTTCCTGTACCAGCAATGTGCTGCTGGTCCATATTGGGAAAGTGTGGGAGCGTGTTAGCATCTCTGCTTGATTCAGTCTGAATCCTGCCCTGGCATCTGTTAGGCAGCAAGCACTAGACACTTGCAATTCATATGGCTCATGGGTTCAAGGACAGAGTTTCTAGTGTTGATCCTTCAAAGGAGAAGGATTTTTTTTTTGTTCTTGGATGCCTTGAACTTCAAAATACAAGGCTATCTTGGCCCAAAAAGTCTTTAACGCAACAACAAAAAAATCTGATGTAGCTGTAGTAATCTACTAATCATGGAAGAAATGCCTGTGTAAGAGTAAGCAGTTTTGTAGCCCTGTCTATGCTATCTGATTGTCAGTAACTGAAGCTTCATTTAGTAGAAGAGAAAACCTCACTGCCTGTGAAGAAGATTGAATTGTAGCTGCTGTTAGAAGGTGTTCTTGGAGACTGTCTCTGGTTTTGTTTGATGTGCAGTGCTTAGAATCATCTTTTTATATTGTTGGACAAGGTCTGTAAATTCTTGATTTACAGATTAGGACATTAGCCTATAATCAGCTTCTAAATGACTTGTATACTTTATGGAAGACTTGCTTCATTCTCTTGGTTATCTGTGCTGCCTTATTAAATATAGGCAATTTACATGAGAACATGCTGAGAACAATTTGTTACTGAAGAAATCAAAATCAGACTTTTTCTCACATAATCTGAACTTTGGAACTCAATAGTTCATTCTATTAAATGTCTGCAAAGCTTCAGAATCCACCGTTATTTGGTTTTGGACAGACTTCATACATATTGATGAAACATCTTCTGCCCACTGCGAGCAGGTCTTGCGTCCAAACTTTGTTTACGTTAAAGCTCTTTAAAAACGTAGTTAAGGCAATTTATCTTTTCAGTGACTTGACGCAGGACTCCAGAATTTGCCCGCCAAAGTTGAATGAATTTTGTTTAAGTAAGCTTTAGTTCTTATTCTTTGTATAATTTCAGTTATCACCAACGGAACATGGATTTTTGATGAAGGAGACAATCTGAGGGAAGTAGAGAGTGTTTTTGCACAGTGGACTGTTCTTTGGCCTAGTAAGGTGGACTAAATACTTAAGGAGATCCTCTTGTACTTCATATGAAATAAATGTTAGATCCTTGTCACTTTGTTCAACTTCCTTAGCCAGAACAGTTATAAAGGTCAGTATCAATTTAGCATCTTGAGACATGAGGCTGACTTCATCCATCCAGGACAGATGGGGTTCATCCTAGTGATGCTTCTTAGGAAATGTGTATTCTGTTTTAGTGGGTTACTGTACATAAGCAAGGGTTGCAGAAAGGAATTGCACCAAGAAGGAAGAAGTCCTCTGCCCTGCCTTACTCCCTTCTTTTCCTTCCCCAAGAAATAACTGGAATATTTGTAATGAGGGAGATATCTTTTGGTTTAAAAAGCAGTATGAAACAGCTTCCTGTGAGTCCTGTTTTCATATCCCATATGTCCATAAAATTACAGCCGGTTTGAATGTAGGAGGTGTCTTTTGATGAACTTGCTATTAAAACAGAAAAATGTTTGATTTTAATTGTTCTTGTATTGTGTGTTTCTGGGTTATTTTTTGGTAACATAGCAGTTTACATTCTCAAGCCTGTTCCCATTAAGTGTAGTAGGAATGCATGTAAAGCACTCAGATTTGAAACTGAAGGGCTTTTACTGAAAGTAACTGAGTCAGATTACCCAGAACACCCTTATTTTAAGTACTATGTAATCACAGTTAGTACTTACCACTAGTGGTGATGATGATACTCACTGTCCTAACATGGCAGTATAGGGTTATTTTTGAATGCAGGTATTGGTAAACGGCTTGATAACATTCCGCATCTATACTTCTAAAACAAACTAGCAAGTGAGATTTCTTGTCAGATACCTCCTATGCCACTGCATTCCAGTGAACCATAGCTGATGACAAACTGTGTAGCAGCATTGTTATTTGTGCTGGCTGTAAAGCAGAGCTGAGTAGGTGTAGCTGCTAGATTTTCCTTCCTTTTGATGGTTAAGGATACCTGAAGATTCTGGCCAAGACAGGCATGTGATGAGTATTTGTTCCTTTATAAACCTCTAGCCTGCTCACTGAATGAAAGGAAAGCCACATAGGTGAGGGAGAGCTTGGAGCTGTGTAACTTGAACCTCAGCAAAAGGAAGATCTGGGTAGAATGAACTTTAAAACTTTGTGTGTAGCAGGATGATGAACTAGACACGATGGTTCAGTAAGTACTGTGAATTCTATCTGCCTGCAGGCTGCCTCTGCCACCAAGATGCTTTTTTACTTGAATGTATGGGGTTAATTTTTCTGTGTGACAACTGAAAGCTACCCAAATATTTGCAGACCTTATTTTTGGGGTCTGTTTGCAATCTTGCTTGGGTGATAGGCAGGGGAAGGCGATGGCAGGAATAAAGGAGAAAGGCTGCGTTCTTCATTAGGAGCAAGTTGTAACTGCATGAGACCACTGTACCTGATTTGATCATTAATTTTAGTGACTGTCATAAGAGTGACTAGTATGAAGAAGGATGACTTGACTGAGGGAGGAAGTCACGATTTTTGCTCAGTAATAAGGAAAACCAGCTAGGAAAACTATATATTGACTATATGTCACGGATGTCACAAGCTGACCAAATACTTAATTAATTATTGGTTGTCATAATTAATCCATGTTGTTGCATAAAATTCCCATGCATTAGATGTGAGGTTTGGATTTTGGATGGTTGACTTCTAAATCACAGTATTACATAAACATGGTAGTCTTCTAGGGCTATAAGTATATAACAAAACTTATGAGCACTGTTTTGGGAGAGGAAAATGAGTAAACCTGGATTGAAGTTCTAAACCTTTCTGCTTTAAAGTAGATTGCAGAGGTGAATGCCTGAGACTGCTTTCTGCTAACATATGGTGACTATTTGCTGCTTGATGTTTTGTTGTTGCTATAATTCTTTTGAAGTTACTTCTACTGGAGGAAAATAAGCTGTTGCAAATATAAGGCCTCCCCACTAGCGTGGAGACTACTACATTTTACTGTAGTAGTACTTCAAACTCAGGATTCTGTTTTGTGTGATTATATAGGATGTATTAAAATTCATCAACATCATTTTGTGGAAGTAATGTTTAGACTTCTGTTGCACTGTTCACTATCAGAAACTTTTCATCTTGAAAAGTTTGGTGAGAAGTCACTTGGTCCCTGGACTTTTGCAGGTTTTTTTTGTTCCTCAGTGCCGAACACCTGAGAGTACCCAATAATTTCAAAATGTCTTTTCTTCATTTCTCCTTGATAAGAATAGTCTGGTTTGTGTCTTGGCAGTTTGTGTTTGTTTTATTTATTAGCTATTGAAAATAGATTTGCTTCTTGAATAGTTAATGTACAAAGGTTTGTTTTGTTTTGTTTGCAATTTATTTATTGTTTGATAAAGCTGAAACTGAATCAAGTTCCCCAGCATTGGTCTGAGATGTTCTCCTTGTTAGACAGAATCAAATCATGTCCTTATTTTCATGGCTTAATAAATACTGGTTAGAATAAAGGTTTCAGAACTTCTCTTTATCTACAAGTGTGTACCTTGGCACAAGCCTTCTTGAATCTCCTGTCAATCTAGGTGAATGTTTTAGTGTTGATTCATTAGTTTCTCTTATTCCTTTTTTAATCTTTTGATGACTGGTAGTCTCCAAACTGAGAAGTGATATGTTTAGTACAGAAAACACATTATTAAATTGACCGACACCTGACTTGGGTGTGCTCAGTATACCCAAAAGTATATCCATGTGTGTGTACGTACGTACACACAGTCGGTATACGCATCAGCATAGCTGTTGTGGAGTGCTTGAAGAGCGATTTCCTTGTTTAGTGAACTGGAGTATAAATGGTTTAGGTTTCATAAAACTCCAACTTTTTCAGAGACCAAGCAGTTCTTATGCCTAGTTTGTGATTCTTATTTTTTTTAATTCCCTATTTTGGGAGCAAAATTCCCATGTGTGTTTTACATGAATGACGTAAATAATTTATATCCTGAAAAATCCCATCATAGCTTATGCTGTTTTAAATGCTTAGTGTTACTGTGAATGTTTCATGCATGAACAGGTGTTTAGGGAAGAGATAGGCAATTCAGCAGAAAAAAAATTTGTGCACAGTCCGTGCACAAATAAACTGCATAATTGAAAAGACTAGTGAAATTTCAGTAGAAAATAGAACTTTAATAAATGTCACTTGGTGTTGACTTTTCTTTATCCTGTAAGTAGCTAAACTTTATCATTTTTTGGAGGATGAATGAATTCTCTTCTGAAGTGCCATGCGTAACAAATTAGTAGAAAACTATTTAATTACTCAATAGTGTGTATTTATATTATTACTCCACATAGTATTCTTCATCTTCAGTAGAGAGGTGACTGATTTCAGGTGTGTTCTGTGAATGACTTTTTTAATGCAAAATGGATAGTTACAAGGGGAAGGGAAGAAGGGAGTTGAGGCTGCCGGAGGTTGTGAGGAGCAGTCCTTTACAACAGCAGTAGTTTTTTGTGGCTGAATTAAAGTGTTCAAAGCCATGGAGTCAGAGCTGTGGTGAATTATCCTAACATAGTTGGGGAAAAGAGAATACGCAGTTTCTTTCGGTGCCTGCAGACACACAATGTAATGGTAGCTCTGCCACACGGGATGTGTGCAGGTATACATAATGCTCTGTGTGCGCAGTCTGCCGTTTTTCTGAAGGGGCTACTGTAATTGTAAGCCATATCAGTGTCCTTTTGTTATAATGACTCTAATGGTGTGCAAATAAAGGTTATTTCAAATGCAGACAGGATAAACGGGTCTAAGGTTGAGAAATCTTTCGCTGATGTTCAGTTGAGTTCCCCTTCGCTTCGCTTCCCTTCCTTGCAGCCTACTTCGTAATGAGGTAACACTAAGCAGAGAACATCTATTTTTTGTCTCCCTCTTAAATACAGCTTGGTTAGTTAGGATGCAGTATAGCACTGCTCTTGCTTCAGACGTTGGTAGGAGCTTTCTGAATGTCCTTTCACTGAAGGTGTTCAGACTACAGGTCAAGGATAAGACCACTTCTTTTAAATGTGTGAGGATGTGATACCGTCTGCTGAGGGGCAGGGCTAGCTAACCTCTCTTGGCATCTCCAGGAAACTTCCCAGCTCTGCTGGGGGAGCTGCACACAGGAAAGGAAACAGTTACTCCTCCACGGTGAGTAACCCTGTTTTCTCCTTGTTCATCTTCCAACTGTTGTCTCTTAATCTCTTATGTCAAAATAGGTTGATGCAGCCCTTGATCTAGTCTTTAACATGGCACAGAGGTGTGGGGTTTTTTTTTTTTTTTTGCAATTAGAAAAATTTCCTCTGGAATTGATTCAGAGGAGTGATGCTAAAAGTTATTTGTCTCTGAAAAGCTGTATCTTGAGTGCTGAACTGTACTTATATGCTGAGGAATATGTGTACAGAGACTTGAATAAAGTGCTCTGTGAAATGTCTGGAAGTTGAAAAACATAGTGCATCAATTTTTCTCAGATAAAGATGCTTTAGTTTTTGTACTGTGGCAAATAAGGGAATGAATTCTTTAATGTTCTGTTTAATAGGGATTTCTGTTCCAGCTGTAATTTTGGCTACTCTTTGTTCCTAAGTTTTTGTGGCAGTTTGTGTTGAAAACCTTTGGTACAGAATGAAGCACAGTATTTATACATTGCATGAAGCATTGTCGTGACAGTCTTGCTAGCAGTATTGACTGACACGAAGAAGAACATTTCATGCTTCTTCCTTTTGTGTGTCCAAAGTAAAACAGTTTTCTCTGGCTCAGTGGCTGACACTTAAGATGCTGAATATTACTAGCATGGATCTTAGTTTGTGGGCCAGCTATAAAACTGTGTTGCATTTTGAACATAATATTTTCATCCTGTTAGTAGTCTTGTTGAAATAAATGGTTCTCCTGTGAAGTTATGTCATGGTGCGTGTGAGGACTATACGGGCTAATTCTTGATTGCTGAATGCTGTGTGGAGTTGTTACTCCTGGTTTGTTCAGGAACCTGAGGTGTAGAGAGAGCCTGGAGTGTTGTTTTTCCTTTGTTTTAAATGTTAGAGATTTGGTTGGGAACTTGGCTAGCTGGCAAGGAGCAGTTGAATGGGTTTTACTGGGAGAGGGAAAGAAGCATGAGGATTTGTAATCTTTCTGTAGACTACCTGAGGGAAAACTGGGACATCGCACTTTAATTTTCCTTGCCTCATAGGTAGGAAAGCCTTATGTGAACTTAATTTATGTCTTTATGTCAGGGGAAACTGTTTAAGGGTAAAAATATGTAAAAATACTGCAGAAAAAATAACTATGAGCTCACTTACTTACAGACATATCCAGCATACTGTACAAAAAAAAAAAGTAATTGCTTAATGTCTAGATGCCTGAGATTTGTTGGATTTATCTGTTACTTTCTTTTTTTTTAAAAAAAGTAATAGTATTTGGGGTGGGAAGGTTCACTTCCCCCCCCCCCCCCCCCCAAGATGTTAGTTGCAGAAATATCCCCTCTCTGTATCTTCCCAACTGCAAAGTTCTGATCTTGGAGAAATATGTAGCAAACACTTTCAAAGTCTATCATGTAGATGATTCTAAAAGAGCAATTGTGTGAGACCATAAAAACTTTATTTATTCACGACCACAGTACTGGATTGATGTTGGATATTTTGGAATTTGTGTTAGTGGCGAAGTTGTACCTTTTAAGTACCTATGCCAGTGCTGAGTTGTTTGGGGGGGGGAAAAGTGAGAAGACTCTTGGAATGGCTTATTTTCAAGTTAACCTAGCGTTACCAGTAATACAGTGAGGAAAATGAAATTAAGACTTCACTTCTTGATGTCTAAATCAGTTAAGAAAGAGACATTTCAGTTTGACTTTTGGTGCAGATGTGACTGTTACAAGGGTTGTGAAGTCAGTTTACCTAATTTTTGGTTGCACGTTTGTTTTTTTTTTTCCTTCATCTAATCAGCACAATAATTGTAGCGCTTATGTTTTAATGTGTTCACTTCTACAGGAGAAACATGATCCTTGTTTATGGTTCTGACAGATAGAAGTTTGCCATTGCCTGAAATATGAAAGTTTATTTTAGTATCTCGTATCACGTGCTCAGATACAGAGTCTGTAGTGTTTTCTGGTGTGCTACTTAGCATTTGTAATAGTAGCAGATCCACATAACTTCACTTAGCCTTGTTTATTCTGATTATGCTGGAAATGCAATTTTATGTGAGGGTTATTTTTATAGGGAGTACTTGCTGATGCTGTTTGTTTAATGTAATACACCTGGTTTATTTTACCCTTGAAAGTCTCTGAATTTTTCCACTTAGTGTTTTAGGGGGTGGGATTGTAGGCTTAAAACCCCCCCCAAAACATACAACCAAAGCAAACCAAAAATCCCCAAGTGTATGTAGGATATTTTCTTATGTCTTTTAAATTCATTGATGTGTGATTTTTTTTTTTAAATATTTTTTTTTGCGCGCATAGTTACATAAAAGCAAATCCACAAAGACTAAGTTGTAACTTTTAGAAAAATATTTTGGATAGATAAGTTTGACCCAGATCCTAGAAGAAGCATGGTTTTGTTTTTTTGGTATGGTTATTAATGGTGAACTTTGTATAGCAATAAGTAGGACTTCTGTAGATAATGGGTACATTTCCTTACTTTATAAAGAAAGGACCAAAGTCAGAAAATCTTCATCAGCTTAACTTGTCAGGAAAGGATTCTGCCTCAGCAGTCAAATTCACCTGTCGTTTCTAGACTAATATGACTAGAAGCCATGCCTGTTTTGATGTGTTCATAGGCTTGACAATGAGACCAAATCTCTGGCTATTTAACAGAACTGATGAGGTTCTGTTAAATGAGAAATTCAGATTCTGGGTCCCAGGTGCTGTCCTTATGGTGTACTTGTCTCTGACAAACAGTCTGACCCATAGGTGTGGTTGATTTATAAATGTTAGAACTGAGGCATACTGTTAGTAAATCCAAACATTTCTCTGGCATTAAATTTAACTTGTTAAAATGAATTCAATGTCAATGAATTCCATAATGTGTAGTAATACTTGGTTTGTTTTCATGCAGAGTCCCAAGTCTGGTGTCTTTGGAAGAGACAAAACTGTACACTGGTGTTGAGTATGGTAAGTAGATCCTAATTCTGTTCGAACAGGTTGAATGTAAGTGTCGATTTCATTCTTTTATTTTTTTTTTTTCCTTCTGTAAAAACAGTAGGTTCTTTTTGAGACCATAATTTTGATTCTTCTCTTTACATTAAATGGGCTTTTTTGGCCAACACAGTAGTTCTTCTGTACACATCGTTTCATCTTCAGCAATGGTATACAAGGTACAAATCTGCTGCAGTAATATGGCTGGGAATGGGAGCTCAGGTCCAACCCCTGGGTCAGACTGGTTGGGCTTTTGTACTTCCATGCAGATGAGAGGTGCAGGAAGCAACACCCATCACCCAAGGACTGCGCTTGGAAAGTTATCAAGGCCTAACAGGCTAAAGGCTGTGACAGCTTCATTAGAAGAAAACTGCATTTTTCAGGCTTTGTGTTTAGTCTTCACCATCTTCCAAGTGAAGATGGGCTATGCCATATATGCCATATAAATAAGCAACTGAGGCACACGGTAACTGCTTATTGGACTATTATATGTGTTTAGGTGCTTTAATACTTGTAAAATCTAGTCCATTAGTTTGTAAGTGTTGAGTTTGTAGCCCTGTAACATGTAATAGAGAATAGGTGTTTATTTAGTCATCTTTTGCAGCAATTAATATTTTTCTGGATTAAAACTTCCCAAGGAGACTGCTTGTATCATTGATCCTTCTTTCTTCTGTGTTTTTTATTGTTTAGATTGGGAATATCTGTCCCCCTCCATTTACTGAAGGGGAGTAAGTCCCCAGTCTTTTACTGGCTTGATCGCCTGATACATAAAATCTGTATTTTATTGACTTTCATTTTTAGCCTGCTTAATGTGTTACTCAGTTTTCATATGCTAAATTATCTGCCTCAGTCTGTGGTTAGAAATGAAGCCAGCTGTCAAGGCAGATAAAGAAGGTTTTGTACCTATAAAAAAACCATTCTGTTGACTTGATAAAGAAAAGAAGGCCCTATGAGAGTGGCGTCCTTAGGTAATACAAGGTGGTACCTCTTATAATATTCCGTATTGCTGTTTCTGAATAGTCTGCTCCGGCTTTCAACTGGTTTACTTACATATAAATTGCTTTTTATGCTGTTGTATAATAAAGAGAAAATGTTTATTTTTTTGGTAGATTTATCAAGAGAGAATTATCGAGAAACGATTGCAAGGGTTACAAGGAAGTTGCTGCGTAAGTTTAACCACCCCTCTATCTAAAAAGTACTATGTTTTGGTTTTAAGTATAATTTTATAGATGAGAAACTTGTTTCATTTATTTTGCCTGTAATTCTTAAATTTAAGCTTTGTGCAAATAAAACTACTGTTAATTTTTAAAGCTCTTTTCCTCTCTGCTAATAAATTGTTTTTCTTCCAATTGCAGGCTATATACTTGATAACTCAGAAGATGATACCAAGTCTTTGTTTCTAATAATAAAGGTATACTTATAATTTGTAATACTTAAGACAAGAATATTCATTTTGCAAAATAATCACTCTTTGTCATCTTTTTCTTTCTACAGATTATTAGTGATGTTTTACAGTTCCAGGGGTCTCACAAGCATGAGTTTGATTCACGATGGAAAAGCTTTAACCTAGTGAAAAAATCAATGGAGAACAGGGTCAGTGATTTTTGTTTGTAATACTTAGGTGAGGAATGGATGTAGTTCCTAATGTTCAGGAAGACTTTTTTCATATTTTTGTTGCTGTTCTGATCAGTTTTCATAACTCTGAAATCTAGTTCCTTGATAAGAATATTCTTTTGCAGTGCTTTTGTACCTTTATCTGGAAATCTTATGAGTAAATAGCTTAGCATTTCTGAATTGTAGTAACCCTCAGTTTGCATATATCCTTGGACCAAAGTCTGAGATTTGGCATGGCACTCCATTCTGGTCCTTGTTAACTGAGAGATTTCTGTGACCAGAGCTTCCTTTTGCTTGCAGAGTAATAGGCAAGTAAAAAAAAAAAAAAACCACAACACTGTGGCAGAAGAATCAAGGTTGTCTGCCAAGAAGAATTTCTACATGAAATTTTCCTTTCTCTAGAAGAAAAAAAGTACATTCAGTCAGTACAAATTGCTAATATGAATACTGAAATCTAAACCAGATTATATATTTGTTTACAGCTTCAAGGAAAGAAACAGCACATCAGAGCTTTGCTGATTGACAGAGTTATGTTGCAGCATGAGGTAATACTTTCACTTAAGTTTTCACTAACTACTTTACTTGAAAAGCTGATTTGTTAGTGTTGTTGTTTAACAGAAGACGCAATAGTGCTGCACTAGTTGTTTTCTTACATTTATGAAATATAAAAACGATCTGTCCTTTATTTGTGGTTTCTGTGCAATTTAGCTGAGAACACTAACGATGGAAGGCTGTGAATACAAAACTTCCCACCAGGAGATGATCAGAGATCTTCTGTGTTTGTCCACAAGTTCATATGGTCAGGTAAGGAACAATGCCTTTTAAACTGAAATATATGGAGCTTTTTCTTGATCCCTTCAAGTTATGCTTTCAGGATCTTCACTTTTCAATTTATTTTTGTGGCAACATGAAATATTTATTTACTTATTTCATTTGCAGTAGTTGCCAATTCTGGCATAATTTTTGCTTTAAGCCCCTTCTTTGTGCAAATAAAGAAATTAACTGGGTGGAGAGACTGCCAACTCTAGGTTACAAATTTCAGATTTTTTGAGGGGCTTAATTCTGGATTTTTAAAAACAGTAATTCAGTTAAAGTACACCAGGTTGAGGTTTTTAGATGTGATGACATAACACTATTTGGAATGCTAAATACTTTTAGGAAGTAGCTATTATGGCATCCTGGTACCTAAAAATACACAAAACAAGTGTTCCGATAGTTGGATTCTGAATTTTTTGCTTCCTTATGTGTGTAAGTTCAGATCCATCTGTGATGAGTTTTGCTCACTGCATCTGTTATTCTAGCTGTTTGCTTTTCAAATGATCTTAAAAACACATTGACTGGTTTTTGGCAACATAAAGAATTTTTTTAACTTTGTAGCTGTTCTTGAGTAAATGCTAGAAACAAGTAGGTTTTTACAAACAACTGTGAGCGAGGGTGAGGCGAAGCATGCTATTTACAACCCTCTACAAATAATTTTGTTTCTGTGCACAGATAAATCATGTAAACTCTGTGCATAAGTAACTGAAATGGATAAGAATGTTACTTTGTGTACTGTATTTTTGGTTCAGAAGACTTACTAGTAATGCCTGTCTTCCCACAGGTCAGAAGTAAAGCTCAGCAAGCATTCTTCACAGCTCTGGGAACATACAATTTTTGTTGCAGAGATATCATTCCTTTGGTTTTAGAGTTCTTGCGTCCAGACCGGCAAGATGTCACTCAAAAGCAATTTAAAGTACTGTCTCATTAAATTTGTTTCATGTCTGTCTTTTGAAAGTGTTTCTATGGGAGAATTTTTCATGGTGAAAGTGGGATTTGCTTGTTTCTCAGCGTGACTGATATTTTCATGGCGTATAGTTTATGCATGACTACTGTAAGGAATCACTGTGATGAGATCAGTTGTCAAGAGAAATTTTGTGTTTATATATGTTCCTCATTTCATTGTGTGTTCAGGTATTACAAAAATATATGTTAACACCTATTTTTAAATTATGAAGCGGAAATTGAAGAGCTGTAGTCCATGGTGGTAAAGCTCATTAAGCAGGTCTGTCAGCTGTAGCAGTGTAAGAAAATAGCATGAACTGGACAAAAAGTTGATCATGCAAAAAAAGGTTATACTAAATCAGGTGGGGTTTGTTGTGAAGTGGTGGGTAATTGCTGGTGCTGTCAGAGCTGGAAATAGTGCTGACTCAGTGAAGCCAGGATGCAATCTATCCATCCGGGTGTTTGCAAGCATCATGCTTCCCTCCTTCCTCTGCACCCCACTCAGTCCTCCTGGCCACAGAGGCAAGTTGGACTCTTGTCATATGGTTGGAACAACAGCTATGGCTTATTGTCCCGCTCCAGCTGCCTGCTAGGTACTATTAGGCAGCCTGTAATGACATTGTTTGCATATCTTATTATCCATTTTTTTGTTTCTTGAATATTATTTTTTTTCTGCTACCCTTGTACCTCGCTTTCTCCATCTCTGTCTCTTCCCAGATAAACAACCCACACCTGATTACTTTTTCATGATTGGTCCCAGTTTTGCTACACTTACAGCATTTGCTACCATACCCGAATTTGATATTTCTGATACTGCTACCAGACAGTCTTGCCCTATATGATATTACTGATGTAATTACCGAGGCACTGTTGTTTCCTAAAACTCTGCTCTCCGAAAGGTCCCCAAGACTTCCTTCCGATTGCCTGTGAAATTTGGCCATTTCTGACATAACTCCCACCTAATCATCTATGAAATCCAGCCCACCTTTGTTTCACTGTGTGTAACTCTTGTCAGCTTCTCACACAGTCGCCCATCATGTTCAGCAGTTTATTGTGTCCAGTAGTTATCCATGTCCTGTTCAGTTGGCAGCGTTTCAGATCTGTGCCTAGTTACCAGCATTGTGATTTGCCTGCAACCTAAACATGAATAAGTTCATAGAAGGGCTACGTGTGGTACTTGATCATTGAGTAATCTCCTTTATGATGTAATTCAGAAATCAGTCAGCCATTCTGTGGATAAAATAATGGGCAGGGCTTCTAGTCTCATTAAAACAGCTCTTTAACATGAAGAGGATTCTGTGAAAAATCTTCAGTATTTTGACAATGAGGCTGCATAGCTGAATGTTTATGGCACATTGTCATGATTTGGTAATATGAAGATTAATTTTTATTCTGTGAGTGCATGCTTATGTAGATAGATATCACTTATACATGAACAATGCTTCAGCTTTCTAAAATTACATCTCTCATTTTACAGGGTGCCTTATATTGTCTTCTTGGAAATCACAGTGGAGTATGTTTGGCAAATCTTCACGATTGGGATTGTATTGCACAGACGTGGCCAGCAATTGTTTCTTCTGGGCTTAGCAAAGCTATGTCCTTGGAAAAACCATCCATAGTTAGACTCTTTGATGACCTAGCAGAAAAAATCCATAGGCAGTATGAAACAATTGGATTGGATTTTGCAGTAAGTGACAGATTGCTTGGTATTAATGTCTTGGAGTCTGAGATTACCTAAATGCTTGAGACTCATGTATATTATTTGAGTTAGTGTTCTGATGTTGATTGCATTCCAGTTTCTGTTACAGAGGAATGTAGACCTGTATTTGTGAGAATAAAGTGATAGAGCTTCCTTAATACTATTGGAATTTGTAACTTTTTGTTAAGCTATAAGGAAGCCTGTTACAGAAAGGAATTTTAAGTTGCCTTTCAGTGTTAATTAGTATGGGACATGCTGATCAGGTGTGAAGATGTGTGTTGGTAGGACAGTGTCATGAAAATAACATTGCCAGCATTTGTAGCATTGTCCCACTGTGCTGACACACAGCACTCATTACACAGCTGCCTCTTGCCTAATCAGTGGGATAAATGGCGTGGGACTTATTTTAAAGAATGAGTGCCAATTAATACAAATATTTTATAAACAATTGTTTTGCTTAATGAAATACTAAAGTTTGTCTTTACCTTAATTTTAAAGTAAAATAAAACATGTACGTGGAGAAACAATTCTGCTGTGTGAGCACAAAAACTGTCTTCCCTACTTCTTCATGGACTTTTCTATGTGGACAGGAAATTCTACACTCTGCTTATTTCAAAACAGAAACAAACATTAAAATCTTGTAAGTTGCTACTCAGTCCCAAATCTTTGCATTCTCTGTCTATAGGTTCCAGAGAAGTGTGTTGAGGTAGCTGTTATGCTGCAAAAATCAGAACATCCAAGTTCAAACTTCACGGGTCTTCGTTCAGAAGAAATTCAGTTAGGAATTCAGCGACAGAAAGAAAAGAACGCTGAGGCTCTGCGGTAAGTTAACTTCCCTTAACACCAGCTTATACTACCCAATATTTACTGTACGTTAAATGTAATCATCTAAAATTGCTAAACTGACTCTTAAGCTTGACAAATTTAAATGACCAAGGATTGTTGTGGTGTATCTTCTCTCTTGAGCTGGCAGCGCCTCTCCTCTACACTCATATGTCTGCCTTTCCTCTTACTCTTCCCTGTCCTCCCAGTTGGCACTGTGTTTACTGCATTGCCTTCGCTCACATTTTGTTGAGGAACTTTTATTCTGTTTTTAAATGGTTCTCTCATTATTGTCTGGTTGATGATTCCCTCTTTTTCCCTAAGAAACTATGAAAATTTGGTCAACATGCTGCTGGACTGTGTGGAACAAAGAAATCTGTAAGTCTCCCTTTTGGCGCATGAGAATTTTTTGGGGGTGGGTTGGAGGTGGCTGCATGAATAAATATCAAAGGCATCAAGAATTGCAGTTAGTGTGACCAGAATTGACTAGTATTTTTTCACCCTTGAGGTAGTTGTCCAACAGTAGTATGTCAGTAGCAGCCTTGTGTAAAATGGATTGTGGCTAGCTTCTTGGAGAGCTTTTGCAAAGGTAGCTGCAGAAGTTGAATTTCTGGAGGTCCTTGTACACTTGCATATGGATTCTGCTTGCCCAGACAGGAAGATAAAGGCCAATATAGGGGAATCTTGCATGACTTTCTCCTAGGTGAAGTAGTAAATAAGTCTTGAATTTATTTTTATTGGGAGCTTGATTTGTTAGTATAAGGCGTCAGTCACATCTTGGAGTTAAGCTTTGTTGTTAATTAGTTTGACTTGCTTTTTTTTTTTTGTTCTGGGAAAAAAGCTCTGGTCTGTCTGCGTAATACTGACATCCAAATAGATTTTAATTGGTTGCAAAATATCTGTGTTTAACAACTTCAAAAGAATATCCTGAGAGGTCTGTATTGTACATTGAAATTACCAGATCAAAAAGGCATCATTAACTGAGTATGTTTGATTGCACTTGTGTGTTCCCTGAACACTGGAGGTTTCCCTAAATGACAGTTAAGTGGCGTAGAACATTACTTAGGTTAGTCCAAATATAATTACATAATCTTAATATGTATAATAATTTCTGTGCAAAAGCAGTGCAGGCAACTGTGGTACTTATTGTCTGTTGACTGTTTTGAATTTTTTTTTTTTTTAGTCCCTGGAAGTTTGAGCACATAAGCATTGGTTTTCTGTCTCTGCTTTTGAGGGATGATAGGATACTGCCTGTCCGTGCCATAAAATTTTTTGTGGAGTGTCTCAACCATGATGCAATTGTAGTTCGTAAGGTAAAACCAACATAATTACATCTTTGTATTTTGCAGCTCATTGGGGTTTAGATCAGATGTTTGTGGTGTTTTGCTGTGATAAAGCACAAAAACTGAGGTGTACTTGGCTCCTCAGCCTTCTGGCCATGCCTGTGTACAAAAGTTCCTAATCCAAGAAGATGACAGTCTTGGCAGTGCTGTAGCCGTGACATATGGTGTAAAGTCTGTAAACTGTGAAAACGTGGAACGTACCTATGCATTCTTACTTACTACAGGACTCTGTTGCAGAATTTCTTTTGCAGATGTCTGTTTTTTCCATCTGCAGCTTATTACTTGGAGGGAACCATGTATATCTTACAGTTGTACCTCTTATTCTGCTTGTTGCTTCAGCGAGGCTTGAAACTAATGGCCACTTCCTTTTATTCCTGAAAATCATTGGTGGGAAGGTTTTTTTGGGCTATAAAGGTCACACTTCAGTCACGTCCTGTATCCCCTGAAATGAGTGAGATTACTTCCACTGCTACTGCGGTTCACTTCAGGGCACTGAGCAGCTGGCTTAAAATGTGGCTATGGTGAGATAATTAGACACATCCTTCTGGAGGTAAGTGTATGGAATGGATACATTAATGCCTGCTTCTTTCTTTTAGGTGGCCATCTCGGCTGTGGCTGGTATTCTCAAGCAGCTTAAGAGAACACACAAGAAAGTGCACATCTGCCCTTATGAAATAAGTAGGTTTTATTTAATATGATAAATGTCTTACATTTATCATAAAAAAAATTTTTTTAAGCATATTTTTCTGGTTAAATTATATATTGAATCATAAAATTTTCATTTCTCTCTGGTTCTTGTTGTCCTAACCAAACAAAACAGGTAATGTAATTGGTCATTTTTCAGTCTGTTTTTTTTGTTGTTTTTTTTGTTTGTTTCTTTAAGCAATGTTAGATGTGCAAGTGTGTATTAAGCTATTAACTTATTTGAAGTGAGTTAAAACTTCAGAGATATGGTTGTTCTCCGTTCAGAAAGCCTTGGAATTTGTGAGAATAATTTGTGTATCTCTCTTTTTATTCTCTTTTTAATAATTTCAAATGGCACATTTGTATACATTACTAAAGGAATTTGTTCTATTACTCTTAGTGTTACTTTTAATCTCCTAGGGCAGATCTCTCTACAGATTTGGTTGGGGTGAGGGAGACATAAAAGCTTTTTGGAATATTTTTATTAAAGTAAGTTGTAACATTTCCTGGGACTGTTAATGAGCAAGTTTGACAGAGTATAAATTCCTCTTTAACCAGGTGGAAACCCGAAGCCTTCCAGCATTCAAGCTGGTGACAGACCGGATAACCAGTGGCTGCACTATGACAGTCAGAGTTTACCAAAGACTAAGGAAGCTTGGGAGTCGTGTTGTTTTGTGGAGAAAACACACTGGGGATATTATACCTGGCCTCAGTGAGTAGCATTAAGCATTAAGATAGAATTGTGAGAATCAGCAGAAAAAAAACACACAGGAAATTAAGTAATGTTTGTTAAATTTAATTTTTTAAAATTGAAGCAAAAAACAACCCAAAACAATTTATTTTGTCCTTTGTGCTCCTTGCTTATTTTGTCACTTCTGGGTAGTTTGGGGGGGGTGTTGTTTTTTTGTTCTGTTTTGGGGTTTTTTTGGTTTATTATTTATTTTCTACCTGTTTCTCTTTGGGTTTTGTGGGTACTATAGGCACATATTTCATATGGTTATTTAACTGCTGTTTTTAAAATGAAGTATGCATGTTAGAAAACCATATTTCACAACTATATAATTTTCAATCACCGATAATTCTGGATTGCTTGGTGTAGCAAAACCTTTATAATAAGACTTAATTTTTTTGTTGTAAATTTTCTTTAAAGTTTTACTTTTTTGGATTTGTTGCTAAATCTTATTTAATATAGAGAATATGGAAAATAAACTTTATTTTACTTTGAGGCATGTTACTGTATGTATTTATTTTTTTAATATTCAGAACTATGACAGTTTATGCTCCTGTTGAGCATCAGCCAAAGCTTGGGCGAAGGAGAGATGAGCTGACAGAGGTAAGCATTTCAGTGTGTTTCCCTTTTTGTGGGATTTTTTTAATACTAATTCTCCTTTCTCTTTTTAATACTGTTCACAGATTATTGTGGAGATAATGTGGAGACAAAATTCCCTTTTCTCTTTTAACTTAAGTATTGCTTGTAATTTAGAGAGTGCTTACACAGAATATGTGGAAACAAATCTATTTTGCTTGATTGCAAACCAAGATGGAGATGGAACTCAACTATGCCGTTTCGTGGCTGTGTGGATAAAATTGCTTTTGACAAGCAATAAGTGATAACTATTCTGAAACCTAGATCCTCACTAGACAATTTTAATTGTATTTTTTCTACTTCACTTTCATACTTACTGTGTTAGCATAGAAGAAATTATTTTAGTGTGTTGCAGCTTCTCTGTCAGCAATCATGGAATAGTTGTATTAATGAACGCTTTCTTATTCCCTTTGAAATCTTTATCAGAGTTTAGAACAAGGTAATTAATGACAGTGGGAATGACTACTTTGTAGTGGTTGTGCTTGTGAAAGGAAAGACTACCCAAAGTCATTAATGAAAATAAATATCAGGAGTCTTGCAAAACATTACCTAACACTCCTTATAAAATGAAGGGGGAAATGGGTAACTGAGGCATGATTTTTTCCAAAAATAGAATTAAAATGAAAAATGGAACTTGGAAAGATTGGGATATCACTGTGACAAGAAAGCACCTCAAAGCTAATTTTTTTTTTTTTCCTGTTACAGGCAGAACAAATTATATATGATCATTTTTCTGATCCCAAGTTTGTTGAGCAGTTAATAAAATTTTTGTCTTTAGAAGACAGAAAAGGAAAAGACAAATTTAATCCTCGCAGATTTTGCCTCTTCAAGGTAACTAGAGTTCAATAACTACATTGCTTCCATTTTGTAGATGATTATCAAAGCATGGAAAAGCCACACTCTATTTGGGTTATACCTTACTGTTGCAAAATGTTGATTTTTAAATGTATGCTGTGATGATTAATGCTATTAGTCCTCTCTTCTGATTAACTACTTGGGGAAACATATTTACTGTAATACAGAAGTACGTAGGACACTTGTATGTAATTCTGTTACAAAGCAAAGTAACTTCAATTTCTGCATATTCACATCTCAAGTGCTTCACAATCTTATGACTACAATGGTTTGGATGGATAATTACTGAAGAAACTTTCACATCTTGTTTTACAGGGCCTTTTCAGAAACTTTGATGATGCCTTCTTGCCAGTTCTTCAGCCCCATTTAGAACAACTTGTGGCAGACTCCCATGAAAGCACCCAGAGATGTGTAGCTGAAATTATAGCTGGCTTAATAAGAGGTTCTAAACACTGGACATTTGAGAAGGTGCTGAAGTAGTGCATTTGAGTGATTCGTGGAAGTTAAGGAATAAGTTTGAATTATTAAACAAATTAAAGTTAGGAAGTTGAGGGCTTTTAATGTGTCACCTATGTCCAAGAAAGGACTGGAAAACGTTGCAACACTTAGTCTTCATTGCCAGCCTTTGAGCACAATTCATAGCTTGGTTTGGTGCCTATGTAACACTAGGTGTTAGTTTTAATCCTGAAGCATTTTACTAAGAACAGTTTGCTGGCAAGGAGATAGCAAAGCTGACACAGTTTGTAATTTCCAATTGAAATAAATGCTTATGTCCACCTCGGACTATTACATCTTTATTTAGTCTAGACCTAGCTGTCTAGATTATCTTTTAAATTAGTTTCTATGCTGAAAAATAATTCTGGGAGAATCAGTTAGTTAAAAAATAAATTAAAATTGGGGAGGGGAAGTCCTTGGGGTGTACAGGACTGCTGTATATACCAATAATACCAAAAGCAAAGTGTACGGGTCTCTGATGCAATTGTATTTAAATCACCATGAAAATGGTGCATATGTAGTCCACAGTATTTCTAAACAAAATTAAAATGATTCCTGAAATCTTGCCTCTGATAGTATGTATTTCCTTTTATAAATATTGTACTGTAGCTCCTGCCAGAATCAGTATCGTTTTTCCATGATTTGAAAAGACAGAAGGAATTAGGTTTGCAGAGGTTAGATGGCCATTTTGTCCCTAAATAGACAAATCTTGTCTTTTGCCTTTTTGCTGAGCAGGTGGAAAAACTTTGGGAGCTTCTCTGTCCATTGCTTCGAACCGCTTTATCCAACATTACAGTGGAAACGTATAATGATTGGGGCACCTGCATAGCAACCTCCTGTGTAAGTACCCCATTTTTAGTCTTGTAAAGCTATATCCAGATGGCCAAGTTTTACAGATAATGTGTAAATAAGAGCTTTATGAACAGAGGTGTTTGGGTATATTTTTATCAGCTAAAACTGAAAACTATAAATACGGTATTAAAATAACATCCATTTAAAATCTCATATCTTTTTTGGAAATTTTGTTCTCTTCTGCCCTTTGCAGACAAATACAACATTTTAGAAAGGAAATAAAGCCTTAGTTCTTTTTAAGTGTTTTAGAAGAGTTGTATAAGGTTAGTGGGTGATGTTAATGTGTATGCTTGCTATGTGTTCAATTTTTGTGGAACTTTTTGCATGCAAAATTACAAAATTATTGATGCTTTAAAAGCATGCAGCTTAGCATTATGCTGTGAAAACTGAGTCTCAAGTTACCTTCTGGCATACGCTAAGATTTCTATATAGAGTTTTGGTGTCTGAGAAGCAGGGTAAGTTATAGGCCACAGATATCTTGGATCAATAATTCTTTGAAATCACTCAGCAAAATTCGGCATAGTTTTTCAGCCAGAGTCCTGGCAACTAGTTAACAAAATTCAGACATGATTCTTCATATATGTCAAAAATGAAGATAAAATCCCTTCTATTCTTATCATTGTATTTACCAAATAATTAAAACTGTGTGTAGTTTCGTTTGGTTTTCCTCCTATTGAGATTACTTTTGAGAAGATGTTTAACTTTGCACTTGCTTAATAGAATAAACCCCAGGGATGCAAAGAAAACCTGTCAAAACTTTCCTTGTTTATGTTATTTACATTTAAAAAAAATCCCTAATTTGCTTATATCTCTGATACCCGTTTATTTTCAGGAGAGCAGAGATCCTAGGAAACTGCACTGGTTATTTGAATTGCTGTTGGAATCTCCATTGAGTGGTGAAGGAGGATCATTTGTAGATGCATGGTAAAATTTATTTTAACTGGTTTTTTGTGTCTGAATAAAGAAGGAAATAAAGCACGGATAAAACATATTGAGAGCATATTGTGCCAGCTGGCTTCTAGAAGCAGGGAACAAAAGCGCTACTTTCCAATTAGCTTTCCCCACACAATGGCAGTTTCTTCATTATTATTTTTTAAGGTAATTAAATACAGTTAACAGAAGGTGAAGGTCTGAAACTGGCATAGCAGCAGTACTGTTGTTTCATTCTGTAATTTTTACCCATCTTTGTGTGCAACTCACACAGATACTTTCATGCATGGACAAACACAAAACTTTCCAAAACAAGGCTTGGAGGGGACTGGGGAAGGGAGGAACAATTCTGTATGACTAAAGATAAGCTGTTTTGATTCCTAGCCGACTTTATGTACTGCAAGGTGGCCTTGCACAGCAAGAATGGAGAGTACCAGAGCTGTTGCACCGACTGCTGAAGTACTTGGAACCTAAACTCACACAGGTTTACAAAAATGTTCGAGAGAGAATAGGAAGGTCAGTGTTTGCTTCTGCAGTTCTTGGGGTTTTTTCCTCTTTATTTGGGTAATGGAGTATCTAAATTACAGGGAAGTAGTGACTGCTTACCTCTGTACATTAATACTGGTATAGAAATTAGATAAATTACTGTTAGCAGACTTGCTTCAGAAAATTCAGATGACTTCTCTGTTGTTGTACTTTATTGTATCTGGCCTGTTACCTTTATGTATGATATCTCTAAAGCTCTTAAAACCCCAACAAGCAAACAACCCTTGCCCCAAAAACCCACAAAAAAAACCCGAAAAACAACACTACAACCCAAATTTATTGTGTCTAAGCCCTAATAAGCCATAAATGCACAGGGAGTCCTTTAGAGAGCATTTTAGTGACTTAACTAGTTGCACATCTGGAAGAGAGAGAGGGTTGTAGCTTAGCAGTTGTCTAACCCTGCTTGATTCAAATATCTACGAAGAGGGTATCTGAAAAACATTTGGTTTAGATAACTTAAAGAAAATTTCCTCTTATTTTCACTTCGAAGTTCAACAAATTGATCTGATCACTTTTAGCTCTGTTCTCTAGACAGTAGTCATGCTAACTGTATGCTCTTGCTTTCTTGGTTTGCTTTTTTAGTGTTTTGACCTACATATTCATGATAGATGTTTCCTTGCCAAATACTGCTGCAACAAAATCTCCTCGTGTCCATGAGTTTACTACCCGGATACTAGAAAATCTTAAACCCCTCATGGAGGCAGATGAAGAAATTCAGAATCATGTTATGGAGGAGAATGGAGTTGGTGAACAAGATGAGCGAACTCAGGGCATTAAACTTTTGAAAACTAGTGAGTTACTTAATGAAGTTAAGAAATGGGGCATGTTTTAGGATGTGATGATTGAGGTCTGAACATCATACAGTTGCAGTACATCGATTCTGCTGTCATACCTGTGCTGCAACAAGGTATCTGTTGTTTCAGGGTTGAAGTTTATAAAGTCAGGGTCAAACTTAACTATCAGTACAGGCCCATTCTAACATGTGAAAATCTCACAAGCGAGTCTTGCTATAAATTTGGTCTATAACTTGTTTTGGGATTGTTACTATTTTTTAATCTTCTTAATCAGCGATCATTTTTCTTTATAAAAACAGTTCTGAAGTGGTTGATGGCAAGTGCAGGACGGTCCTTCTCTACAGCTGTCACAGAGCAACTCCAGCTTTTACCCTTATTTTTCAAGGTATATGATTTAATTACTCCTTTGTTAGTCACGTTTGATTAAAAAGGGGCTCTATATAGAAACCAAAGTTATAAGGGACTTTATAAATAAAAAGAAAACCTACAGGGATAATAAAGAACATGTACACCTAAGAGGCCCAATTTTTTTTTATATACTTTTGTATGTTTACAGCTGTTAAATGGTTTCCTGACAATAATGATTTGTACGTGAATGCCCTGTATGTGTGTAACTTGGGGGGCAATAAGTGTTTAGTTAATGAATGAATGAATGTTGGGTTTGTTCTGATACTTACCTTGTTTTCTTTTGTTCCATGATTATACAATTCTTTCTTAAATGGTGGTACTTCTCTTGTTTTTCCTGGCATCTCTGATCCTAGTATTCTTTTATGCATTCAGATCTACATATCTGAAATAATCCATATTTGCATGCTCCAAAGCATATGTTTTGTTTTATATAAACATCAGTCAATCATCCAACAATAATGTATGTGACTACAAAATAAAGTTTTACTTACATGGAAGTGAACTTGAAATACTGATAAAGCTTTTTCTCAGTTATGGAACTATATCTGAAATATTAAATTAATTGGGTTTGATACCAAAAGAATTGCAATGAGGAACCAAAGTCTTAACAGCACCCATTTAATCCTCCTTAAGAGCTTCAGACTAGCCATACTGTTTAGATAAGGAATATATGGCATAACAAAGAAAGATCTCTGGATTCTGTTCATTTTTTGTGCAGCTTAATGCTGAGACTATTTTAACATTATATTGATCGTTTTTCCTAGTTAACTAAGTCTTTCAGTATTATATTGATTGTATTTTTCCTAGACAACTGCCCTTTCATGAGATTAAATTTTCTTTCAGGATTTTGCTATTAACAATGCTTATTTACTAACACTAGCCTTTTATTTTTTTCTCCCTCTTTCCTTGTTCTATAGATTGCACCAGTAGAAAATGACAATAGCTATGATGAGCTCAAAAGAGATGCTAAGATGTGTTTGTCATTAATGTCTCAGGGTTTGCTGTATCCTCAGCAAGTGCCTTTGGTACTTCAGGTGCTAAAACAAGTAAGTATGGTCTAAATAGCTTAAAGCTTCTGGTTATCCAATGCACTGGGCTTTTTTTTTTAAAGTTTATACAATAGTTGTGATCTGAAGAAAATCAAATTCTGATTTTCTTAGAGGTGAAAGGAAAGAGTTTATTGGAAATGTTTTAAAACGTTCTTAGAAACAGTAAATGTATTTTGTTTTGTTTCCTACTTCCAAACATTGAAAAAACTTGTATTTTGGTAAGAAATTGAACAGTACTTTAATAAATTAAAATTTGTTCCAGTAGTAGACCAGTTTAAGCCAAACATGTCTCCTCATGAGCATAACAATTCGAAATCCAGTTTCAAAATGAGTCATCATATGAAGAACTGCCCTGGAATCTCTGCCTTTTTATAGTTTTACAGTATATTTGTCAACTGCTACTGCTTTCGGAAAAACAAGACAAATGAAAATGCACTCTTGAATTGAATGGTTCATTCTTTATACATTTTGACATGCAAGAAACACCTTTTTTTTTTTTTTTCTCTAGTCATTCAATTCTGATTTACGCAGAATGTTTGTGTAAGCTGTACACACAGCCGAAGTAGTAACTGCAGTGTTGCAATCCAGGCTGCACCGTGCCTGATGCTTTCAGTGATTTGGACTTCCACAGGCGCATGGAGATCAAAGGAACCTGAAAAAACTTGGCTTTCCAAGTCCATTGCGTAGAATATATATACTCAAGCAGAACAGAATTGCTGTTTTATTTATATCTGCCTTATGACTGATGTAGGGAATTAATCGAAGCGAAAAACTTGCCTACTTTGTCTTTTACAGTATTAGATGTCTGTTAAATAATTAGGTGTCCCTTAAATGACAGTATGCTTTGGAAGTTAAGCCTGTAATAAATTATTGTCTAAATAATAATTGCATGCTTTGGAAATTAAAGAGTGTATGAAAGAAGAATATCTGAGTAAGGGAAGTTATTTGCAAATGTTCCCGAAAGCTTTTTCTTAAATATTGTTTGTTGGCTTTATATCTGGTAGCTGCTTTCTTTCATATTCTTGCTTTCTCATACTTACTTATTTATGCTTGTAGACAGCAAGAAGCAATTCTTGGCATGCTAGGTATACCATATTAACCTACCTCCAGACCATGGTGTTCTACAATCTCTTTATCTTTCTCAACAATGAAGAAGCAGTCAATGACATTAGATGGCTGGTTATAAAACTCCTAGAAGATGAACAGCTTGAGGCAAGTAATACCTTTTCTGAAATGCTTTGTTTCACGTGACTGGTTTCTTGCCCTTGTCAAGTTTTAAGAAAAAGCTACTGGTTGTAAATTAATACAGCAAGTAGTTCTAGCCTAGCCTTCTTCCTGTTTCGGAAATAAAGCTAGATTTATAGGATTTATTTCTTTCATATTCCATTTTTTCTTTTAATATTCAATTCCAGGGAAACAGGTGTTCAGAAAATACTTTGTTAGTGATTTTTAAAAGTTCCATTGCTCCTACTTTTTCAACAGAATGGAACATAGCTTTGTTTCATTCTTGGTTTAAGTACAGCTGAAATAGGAATATTATCATTTTACTATAAATATTAGCATGGATGGTGATAGAAAATTCAACTTCCAACAAGGTAAAATGTTTTCCTGCGTGAAAACTATATAAAACCACCATGTATTACTCCATAGGTCTGTTTCCAATTTAATCATATCTGCTTATTAATGACAAAAATACTTTTATTTATACATCCAGCAAACTAAGGGAGTGTTTCTTTAGTTATAAGTAGATTTTCCTTAGTTTTGTGAAAGATGCATGCATAATAGGACAGATTTTGTTTACCAGATGCTATTACTGATGGTGCTACATGATTCAAAAGGTAGTGGTTTGTAAGCTTCCTTGTCAGTCTGACAAGTTTTTGTTCATCTCTTGAGCTAGTGGTACTTCAGTAGATACAAATGGAAAAAGATAAAGTCAAAATCTTGGCTGTGGTACTTGCATACTGTTTAAGATCCGTGCATCAATGCACAATATGCTCTTAGAGGTGCGATCAGGATCATAAGCTTGTTCTCAGGGAGGCGGGGCAGGGAAGAAAGGTGCCTGCTGTGAATCATTGAGTCTTGTTTGTCAGGCTTCCAAAAGCTGGGGAAAAAAAAAATCACAAAAGTATTTTATTCTGTATCACTGATTCACAGAACTGAAGGCTTGTATTAAATTACCTGAATTTAAGTATGCTTGATCATGTTCAAGCACAGTGAAGAGTCTTTAATTCCACTTCCCCTGCGCCATAATTTTCACTGGTTTTTGTGCTGTTGGCAAGTATCAGTGAAATCCTACTTTTGGGTACTCGAGTGCTTTTTTCTTTCAAGAAGAAAGAGAAGATTCTGAAGTGTAATACCCTTCTGCCGAAACAAAGATCCTGGTTTAGGTGTTGCTGAAGCTACATTTAAAACAGTAGTTATATGTGAGATGTGAAGCTGACTTCACATATACAAATTAGAATTTCTGGCTTAAGTCTGACATTACAATCTCTACAAGTGCATGTAATACTTAAAGAACAGCACTTGGACTACTCGCCCAACCATACCAATTTCAGTCTTCAGATGAGCTGGCTCGTGTCTTTCATGTCACCATTTGTTATAGTGAGCTGGAAAGCAACAGCTTGCCATCCTAGGTAAGTTGTTTCCCACACCAGTCAGAACACTTACCTCATAATCTCACAAAATTTTGAAAAATACCTTTTATTCGCTTTAAGACAATTTCTCTATAGTTATTTTAAATGTACAAAATTCTTTCTCTGCACCACAGAGATGCAAATCAAAAAGGCTTATCTATGTTCATAACCACTTACGATCATGTTACCATGGAAGCTTTCACTTCTCTTTGAAAAGTAATCTTGTTCTTTCTTGGTAATAATTGGCAAGATGCAGTATCTCGCAGAGTAATTCCTATGTGGTTTTTTTAATACTGGATTTTTAAGATGAGAATCCCTAGCTTTAACTAGTATTTGCTGTCCTTACCTGGTAGAACTGAGATTTTTGTTCTTGGATTTAAAGATACTTTTTTTTGCTTATTTTGATACAAAGGTGCCAGACATAATGATTCAGCCCATCTTGTTCTTTGTTTTAATATACAGTTTGCACTTCTAATATTGCTAGAACTACTGTTCTTAAACTTCCTGGTTATTTCATATTTTTTCATAAAATCATTGCAACAAACCTCAACAAATGAGAATATCAAGTGGCCACACTGGATGTCAAAGAGCAATGTGACTGCAATACAAAGTGAACGTGGGTCATAAGACAGTTTGGCTTCTATCAAATGCAAATTTCATGCATCGAATGCAAATGTGTTTTCGAATGCATTCATTCTTTATCGAATGCATCCAGCTTTGAGCACAGGTCTCTAGAATTGAAAAAAACTGTACTTGAATGGTATTGTGGGCAATTCTCCTTCTGAAAGTCAGAGGAATCATGGAGCTGGTGGAACGCTATGAATGTAAAAGCTAATGTGACCCTGCAGCTGATACAGGGAAAAATTATAGAGTCCTGAAAGATAATGTCTCTGTGTACAGCAGCATAACCACCATTGAACATCAGGTCTAATTTTCATGTCATATAGGCATGTGGAGAGAGCTGCAGGAATGATTTGAGTTTGGGAAAGCATGTTTTGCACTAAATAATTCTGTTTACTCAGAAGTAGAGGAAAAGTGAAAATGACCATATTCAACTTGGAGTTACTGTTAAAGTGATAGTTAGGTTAGTCTGAAAGCATCACAGTTTTCTCAGCCCTAATTTGATCTAGGAAGCTATCTGGGTAGGTGCTTCACATGTTCATATTTTTATAAATCAGTGTACTGAATATATAGCACTCATGTCTTGATAAACATTTTTCATATTAGGCTGCAGTATTACAGTAATGACAATATTTTCTTTTTGTACAAGTAGCCCCTTGCAAGTCCTGCAGTTAGGTATTCCTCTGCTGCTACTCTGTAGTTTTTGTATTCTGTAAGTTGTCACGTGACCATGATGATCTGTAAATTATTTAGTGTCAGACGTGATGAATGATTAGCTTGTAATGTGTGATTTTTAAAGGCATTGCTTCTAGGTGCTCATTGCAGCAAAGTGTTCCTTTTAGTTAGATTATTAATTTAGAAATGAAAGTGGTTTTAATACGGCAAATAGTGATGTAAATGAGTACAGTTCACTTGGGAGCTTGTTCACTTTACAGCCAAGCTTCTTTCTCTTCTGGGTCTTGCATTAGCACGTCATGTTTCATTTAATAGCTTAGTTCTTAAGAGACTCACAAATTGCTGATAAACAATACTGGCAGACTTTCACTTCGTACTTCTTCATGCTATTAACAAAGTAGATCACGTTTGAATAATACGTTGTAGAAATTTAAATGGAACGAAGTGAAGTCTCAAGAGCTTATTGTTACCTTATGATGTTTAATTATTGCAGCACTTGCAGCTATACTTATTGCTTTGTGGAGGTTCAGAACATTATGTTCAAGGGTATAATTTATTATAATCTGATGCATTGGATTCAGAGCGTTGGTAGGTGTTTGTACTCCAGATAGACAAATGTTCTGTTTACAGTTATGTGTAACAGTATGTACTTACCAAAAATCTGGCAACTGCCATCAGTGCTTCAACAAGTTGATTTGGTTTTCAAGTTTGTGAATGTTGGCAGGTTTTTGTCAGCTTGCAATTGTTGAAAGTGGAAGCGTTTCGGAGGGACTCCAATTTAAATATGGTCTTATAGTTCTGTAACTTCATGGATTTAGGAGATTTGAATAGATAAATTAGTAATACTGATGGGTTATACTTGCTTTTAAAAGCAAGTGACTGAGTTGTCTCTACCTGTAATCCGCTAACGATGTGTTGTGGCTGTTTTAAAGGGAAAGGAAAAGGAGATCGGTATTTTGAATGGTTTCGCAATTAGATGAAAACTGAGTTTAGTCTTGTTCTTTGGGGGTTTTGTGTTACCAAATGTTTTTCCAACCTGGAACTCTGTTTTTATTCATGTACTGAAAAGAACACAGGACCACAAAGTAAATAATGCTGGAGCATTATAGAGCTGAATTGTTGACCATAAACCACTGAAGTTGGTTGTCATTGCTTAGTAACGCAGCATCTGTTGTATCTCTCAAAGAGTTATTGTGCTATGGGTAGAACAGAATCAGGTTTTTCTCACGAATGTGCTGTCTACCTTCTTTTGAAAAGTGCTTCTACTTCTGTCAATTCTGGTGCTTCCATGTACATTTGAGGGGGAAACTAAATGCTTTTGGATAAAGTATACTTTTTTTTTTCTTTGTAAAACTAATGTTAATAGACAGACTATTATGAATTTTGTAAAGCAGGTTGATTATTTGGGGTGGTGCATCCAGTTTGCATTCAAAGTCTGTGTTTAGACTTTCTAAAGCTAATCTAGTCTGAGATACATGTCATGACAGTGGAGTTAAATTATATTTGCTTGCGTAGTAGGTCATTTTATGACAAATTATGTGAAGGTAGTTCTATATTGCAATAGAACCATGTTTATTAATTTGTAAAGAGCCATATAGTAAACTACTAGTAGGTTATGATCTATGATAACATAACAGGATAATATCTTAAAGACTTTTTCTTGGGCAGAGTTTGATAACTTGGCCTAGCTGGCTGTGCTTAAAAGGGTAGTAATAGCATAAATACCTGTTTCTTGCTATGCATGTGTGCTTAGTAATTGTGGTACGTACTGTCTCTGCTTATAGGTGAGAGAAATGGCTGCTACCACACTGAGTGGTCTCCTACAGTGCAATTTTCTCACTATGGATGGGCCCATGCAGACCCACTTTGAACAGCTGTGCAAGATGAGGTTACCAAAAAAACGAAAGCGAGACCTAGGTTCAGTGGTGGATACAATTCCTTCTGGTGGTAAGAAAATTGCTTCAGAGACTAAAACTGTGCGTGTTGATAGCATGTTAGGAAGAAATAAATATTTTGTGCTACATTTAAATGTTTATTCTGCAAGCGCTCCAGATGGAACAGGATTTGCCCTGTGGTGAAGCCGTATTTAGAAAATTACCATACACGCAGAGAAATGTAAGGCCTGTTGCCCATACAAACGTTTTTCCTTCCTAAGCATTCACAAACCGTAATGGCAAATCGCTTGCCCTTATGTACCTTATGGTCTGTTTCTCTGTATGTAGTGCAGATCCTAATCCTTGAGTGCTTTGAGAATTTGATTTACAGCATAGATGATGAATAAGAATATACTACTACCAAAAAAAGAAAATAATGTTTTTCTGTAATATTCCTATGTCAAACTAATTTATTGCTTTTCCAGAATTAACTGTAAAGAGATTTCTTCATTTCCCACGTGCACAGTTCACGTAGTTAAGAATGCAGATGATGAGGGATAGATATTTCCTCAGTAAATAAACTTCCTTCATTACCACAGCATAATTTTACTCCTTACCCACCTTACCTTCTGTTTGTTAGCAGTGTGGGATTATATTCTTAAAAAAAAAAAAAACCAACACCCACCCACCCACACAAAAAAACCAAAACAAAACCAAAAAAACCAAACCAAAACAAAAAAACCCCACCCAAAAACAGAACAAAAAACCTCCTTAGTTAGCTCTGGCTTTGACCAAACATTGAGTGTATCTGAGTCACACTAATTTGACCCAGGACTGGGTTTCCATATTGTCAAATAGTTCTGGTACTTGAAAAAACATTCTGAGTGTAGAAATAGGGAATGGTGGAAATGTAGTTCAGAGCTATTTACTGAGTAGAAAGATTCTTTGCGAGAAGAAATCTCATTTGAAATGTTTGTAAAGTATACAGCAGTTGCAGATGAATTTTTTGACACATTCTTCCATTAGGAATGAAAGATAGAATCAGGGAATGAATCTGTGTTTCTGTGTAAGAAAGCATAAGCAATGTGGAGATCCATACACTTACATGAATTTGTTTGACTATATGGTCTGTGGAACTCTGGTTTTCTGTAGAAGCTAGAGATCTTTCTACTGTGGCAGGGGTTTTTGGTTTTGTTTTTTCTTTAATTCAGGGTCAAAAGTCAGTATTAGTGTCAGTATGTTATTAGATCACCTCTGTTTAATATATAGGCTCTCTTCAGTCATTCCCATCAGTTGAAAATAGCCTTATTTTCACTGATAACCAGTTTTAAGTTTGACTGTGTCGTTGAGGAATGTCTTGGAGAAGACAGTTGCACCTTGCCACATGTAAATTAATGTCCTGCAATTGCAGACTTGGTTAAACGCCACGCTGGTGTGCTAGGACTGAGCGCGTGTATTTTGTCAAGTCCGTATGATGTACCCACCTGGATGCCACAGCTCTTGATGGATCTCAGTGCCCATCTTAATGATCCTCAGCCTATTGAGGTAAAAATACTTCTATAATTTTTCTATCTAATGTAACACATCTAAAATATACTGGACTCATTCATAGTTCCCCTTTCCTAGAAATAAATAGGAAGCTATTAAGAAACATACGTTTATGCTGCATTTTATTAAACGGTTTCAAATACATTTGAAGTCATGGACTGCTTTTAAATATTTTTTGGTGGTAGTTCTGGTCTTGCTTTCAAATTCAAAGCATAAACTGTAAGCTACAAGAACTTTATCTGTAATGAGGAAGTAGTATTTTTTTAATTAAAAATGTCACTTTTGTGCATGACAAGATCAACCTGAACCAAAAAATCACTGAAATTTTCAAAACAAGGTTTTATGAGCAGCCCTAGAAACAAATTTCTAGTGAAATAGTTACCTCTAACTATTTTTAACCCAGTCTATTCAGTTTTGTTGACCTTTGCTGTTTTAACCAGAGTAGTGAGCTTATGGCTGAAGAATTCCTCAGATTTAACAAACTTTGTTATGGTGTGCTTTACTGAATCAAAAAACTGAACTGATGGGACTTTTTTTTTGTAATTTAATAACAATCTTAATTATTTTAATAACAGAAGAAAGTTTTCCTCTGATTTGTTTTTTCTGTGCACCTTATGTGATTCATCGACTCTCATGTTTTGAGACCCAAACCATTGGTTTGAATTACTCAAAGAAAAGGAAGAGGGGGAAAAACATTTCCCTTATACTTCATAAGAATCTATTAATTTTTTCAAGCTCAAAATTGTAGGTCAAAGAATCCTTTTTATAAGAATGTCAGAGTGGCGACACCGGTCAAAAGACTAACCAGAACTGTAAAAAGTAAAGTACTGGGGAACTGGGCTGAATTCCCCAGAGCTCTTCTAACCTTTACTCTACTCGGCAGTTATTTTTGTTGTATTCAATGTTTGTTTTGTCATGGAGCTTAAATCCATAACTGATACAGATCAATATTGATTGCCTGCTATGCAGATGACTGTGAAAAAAACATTGTCAAATTTCCGGAGGACCCATCATGACAACTGGCAGGAGCATAAACAGCAGTTCACAGATGACCAGCTACTAGTGCTTACTGACCTCTTGGTTTCACCATGCTATTATGCATAGATAGGTAAGATTATTTGTTTTGACATAAATTGATAGAAACTTCAGTCTAATGAAACCCACTCTAGCTCTCCAGCCTAGCATGGAGAGTAGGGAGGAATCCCTAACACAGGGAACATGCTATGTAAATCCCTTGCACCTCCAGTGCTCTGTTCAAGATCAGAATTGTTTTGGTTAAATACTGTCCATCTTTTTGTGTCCCTGTATTGCACTAGTGTTTTGCTAAGACACACTTGTTCTCTTGAATATTGATGTTCTTTTTCTCCATTTCCTGCCAGTTGGCTGCCTTTTAAATGCCTGGCAGTTTCACTAACAGCAAGGTATTGCTGCTTTGTGCTTCTGATGCCTCTGAGGACTTTAGCCTGCCACCCAGTCCGGTATATCTACATCTCATGATGGAGAATGGCTGCTACCAAACTGTTTCCTCTTCCACATTATGGCTTTGCTACCAGGTCTCTTCACACAGGCATGTCCCCAAAGAGTGAATCCATTCCTGGAGTTTCTCTTTGTTACGCTACAAGATTCAAGTCTCTATTGTATTGTGATGTTTTGTGACAGTATTCCAAGAGAAGTTTTAATTCATATTTTCATTTTGTTCTTTGGTGATAGCATAAGGCAATAATGTTTTCTTTTAATTATTTCTTCTTTCTTTCCAGGTTTCTCTTGGAAAAATGAGGATGTGGATTCCTTTCTGCAAAATCAAGGAAACTCAAAGAAATTTATTGTATACAAAACTTTGTGTTGGAAATCCTGATGCCTAATCAAAACCACTTTTAAGTACAAACATAAAGACCTGGTTCTATTCAAAAAGAATTTCACCTCCCCAGGGAGCAGCTGTGGGAGCCCCACAGTCTCCTCGTAACTGCGCTAGCAGAGCCTGATCGTGAGTTTATTGCAAGACCTTTCTCTCTGGCCTGCATTACACATCAGTCTTGTTTCTGCTTTCCTGCACACGGTGACTTACACTGCACATTTCTCACCCTCTTTTTCTGACCCTTCTTCCCAGCTGTCTCCGACATCAAAGATATGCAGAACCAGTGTGTGCTGCAAACCAGAATATTCACAGTGAAGCTCTTCAATTCTGTTGATGCAACTTCTTAGTCAGTATACAATAGCAGGAACCTATCTTTCTCAGAGTTTATTTTTCACTACTTGGATTCGAGTGCCCATCAGGTGACGGGCTCTGTATCATTCAGTCCACCTCAGGGCAGGATTGCCTTTTTGTACCCTCCTTGTCAAAATGTAAATAGTCGATTTTCTCTGTGCAGTATAGATGATGGCAGGACAAAACGTGGGGAGTGAAAGCTCTTACTGCCTGGCCAGGTCTTCATAGATAGCTTGACCACGTGTGGGTGGAATAAAAATCTATGATTATCTGCGTATTTTTAAGGGTGAAAGACTATGGGTGTTTCAGCATAATTAGAGCCCACAGATATGAATTTATGGACTATCAAGTGATAGTTGAATTCACAGAATGAAATGTATGCACCGTGTGAAAAGGCACTGAATGGCTGACTGTTTTTAACAGCATATTCTTATAAAGATTGTCACTGTTTGAGCAAGCATATCTTGTTCAAAGATTGTGGAAGCTCTGTATTTTTTTGCCTGCAGCTTTGTTCAGAGACTGGTATCTATTGGCTATTTAACAACATGTTTAATATGTGTTACATAGTTGTAAAAGACTGTATAAATTGTAGAGGCATTGCATTGACAAAACATTGTACAGTTTGCAACCTTTTACATAACACCATTGTGAGATTAATTTGTAAAGATTCATACTTAGATGTTAATACAGTAGTAGTTCTGGCTTTTGTATCAAATCAAATGCCATTATTAGTTTTTTAAATTATTTTCTTTAACAAAATATCTCTTCATGTCTGAAAGGCAGAGGTTTTGTTTTGGTTTTCTTGTATCTCATTATTACTATGTCTTATTCAAATTTTAATGTGACACTTGTGGCCATCTCTAAATGCTGACATCACATATTCTCGTGTGATACATTCATAGAATGTGAGGTACATTGAAATAATTCATAAACTGGTGTGTGTTTCAACTTTCATGCAACCCTACAGGAGCACTGATACATTTTGAGTGATCTACCTGCTGAGTGTGTGACTCATTCCAAACTTCAAAGCACAGCGGTGTTCCTGGTGCAGTGTTTAATGAGTGTCAGCACACAGATGTAACCACTGTATAGCGTAGTGCCAAAATTATTATTTCAATTGTGTACGTAGTTTAAGATCCAATAAATGGACTGTTTATAACATCTGCATTCTTTTGTATTTCTAAAGCAGAAATTTCTTATTTTGAGACCGTAACTAAAGGTTTTTTACTGTGCTTTTGAGCTTTTTGTATGAGGCATGTGTTTATTGTGGGATTTGGCAGTGAGTTAAGGCAACATTAAGGATTAATTAAAGATCTAGTTCTAATGGTTGGGAAACTAGCTTTTATATTTACATAAAAATACCTTGTACTTGGTGAGGCTTGCAAAAAAAAAAAAAAACATTAACTTCTGAGAAGTACACTTAAAATTGGAGAAACTAGTTTGAAGTGGAGGGAGTTTTGCTGATAGAATTAAAAAAACCTTTAAAAGTAATGGAAAGTATTTGCTGCAGAGGATCATCTTTAAAGTTATGTGTTGGCCGATGAACTGATGGAGCAGATATGATATGGGCCATTGTGCCCACACTTAAGGGCAGCTAACTATAGGATCCAGCTCTGCTGCTTTTTATTGCAGTTGGGAGTTTCTTTTCTTAGATATCTGTAGTCAAAGTGTAACTGGAATTGGTTGCGATGTTGAGGATCCAGCACTCTGTAGGGAATCATTCTGTAGTCAGAGCTAGGATGGCACATAAGTAGGTGGTATTAATTCACAATAGTGGTTTAAATCAGCAATAAATTACTTGGTCCAAACAGATCTTCCAGAAAATAGAGTACCTATTCAAGTACAGTTCTATAGGATAAAATAAACCTATGGTAGTGTGAACGAACTTGTACTAATGGACTTTTTGTGGGAAAAAGATTGTTAGTCTCCTGTTCTGAGAATGTAGGAACAATTTAGAGTACTTCATCAAATACCACAACTCCATTGCTACTTTTATTCCCTAACTTTCCCCAAGCAGTATTTATGCAGGTAATGAGTTCTGAGCTTTCCATCACTTTGTCTCATGCTATCTCTTCCCTAAAGCCTCAGAGATGAAACAACTACAATACCTCAGTCTGGAGAGGGAGACATTTCTAGCATGAGAAGAGAGAATTTTTTCCCCTTGAACAGTTAGGGAGATGGAAAAAAATCTTGGAGATGGTCTGGTAGCCTTGACAGCCTTAGTGACCACATGTCAGTCTGCACAAATAATCTCGGTGACCACCACTGTTTGAAGCACCAAAGAATGGCAATGGCATCAGGCAGAATTCATTTGCTGGGGTTTTTTTTGGTTTGTGGTTTTTGGGGTTTTTTTTGCTAGAGTTGCAGTCACTTACTGTTCAGTGGCTATTTTGGTAGCGTATTAAGTGAAGCAATCTCCCTTTTTTCCATAACCAAGTTGGGTATATTTGTGCATGTGAAAACCTGCTGAAATCACAGCAGAGACATGATGCTTATTTTGATAAAAATGTGTAAGAAAACTATCAAGTAGGTGAATAAGACTTTAACTTGTGCTTTTGGGTGGCACCCCAGATCTGACACTGGCGGATTGTGTTATGGACAAGTTGAGCTAATTTGTGTATGGATTTTTTTTTTTAAATGAAAGAGGAAAAGGTATGAAGGTCATTATTTCTGATACAGTGTATTATGACTGTATTCCTTTTATGTCCATATATCTGCCCTTTTATCCTTTTTACTTCTTTACCAGGCTGCTGGGCATCCTGTGCTTGGTACACAGGGATGATGTCTCGTCAGGCATCCCCAGCATACCACATTCTGTTTGGTCTTGCACTTTCTTCCACAGCTTCAGACTTCCTGGAATCCTGTAGCAGAGACTTCAGCTTCCTTTTCCCCTGTGCTGTGGAAAACACAGTAATCTGGTAAAATGTAAAAGGGAAAAAACCCCAACTTACCAGTAGAAAGTCTTGCTGAACGTTGTCCTTGCAAGATTTTCTGCTGTGAATTACCAGCTAATTTGTTGCTGTAACTGGAAGGCAGTTCAGAGGCTAGAGGTAACCATGCTCCAGGGAGAAGGTTTGTGGTGGTTAATCCAGCGAGGTGCCTGGGGCACCAGGGAAACAGTAATTTCAGTCTACTGAAGGTTTGATTACAAAAGAAAATTAAACTGCATGGAAGATGAAGAATATTGCTAAGCTATTTTAAGGCAATGCAGATGCATTACAAGCAACTTGTAATTGGTTTGCACTGAGGTTTCTTTCTCTCTCTTGGTCAACAGGTGCTTCTCAGAGCTATTAAGAGATATTTAGAAGGGAAAGTCCCTGAGGTGAGAGGAAAAATGTTAGTATTCTCTCCCTGGGAAGGAGAGTGACTCTTAGTAAAGCAGTCTTGAGTCAAGAGTTCTCTCAGCACAGACAAAAGCTTAGACTGTTGCCTACAAAGACTATTAGCAAAATTATCTTTGATTTCTGATGGATTAGAGCACAGTGCTTAGGGGAATTGGCTGCATCCTAACAAGACAGGCTTTTTCAAAGAGTGAAAAGGAGAGGGAGCCTTGCTGGCCATGGTCCTTTTCTAATTATAGATTAAATTACTTTTTCCACAAAAGGCTTGTGGAAGTTGAGCCTGCTTTCCCTGCTTGGGCTCTTAGTACCATCACTGCTGCAGGTATTTTGCATAGATTACCTGAGCAGATTTTGTTGCTAGAGTTTGGAGCTGGACACCCACTTCCCTTGGGGAATAGTGAGGGGTACTGGGAAATACGAGAAATACGAAGTCCAGTCATTTCCGGTTGGCATACTTAGGAAAAAGAACAGCAACCCAAATAAATCTGTTTTAGCAGTAAGTGTAGTCAGAGTATCAATAAGTCTAGGCAGAAGCCTAGGTGAGTTTACCCAGCCAGA